CTCTAACATTCGAACACACACACACTTACTACTGACTACAGCTATGGCAGCTGTCGCTGCATCTACCCTATCGCTATGCTAACTCCCTCTCTCTAGCCCACTGCGTCCTCCGGGCTCATCTGCAGACCTTGCACAAGTCGCTGTGGCAGCGCTTCCGCATGGCTCACGCAGGAATGAATSAATGGCTGGGCGCTGCCTCTTGATTTATACTTCAGAAACTCGTTGGTCTGCCCTTTGCCATCGGCCCTTGGTGCTTACAGTCCCCCTGTGGTACTTGCTGGACCGGACTGGGACTGACTGGACCTTCCGTTGACTRACTGTGGACTCACTGCTATCCTACCGCCGTTGCACTGCTGTTGCACTGCGGTTTAGTCCACCACTTGCCTCACCACTTGACCACTTGCCCACTTRCCTACCTTCTAGAAGGTCTACAGCTAAGCTTCCAGAACTCACTAAGACTCCTACGCTATAGACCTACAGATCGAACCCCTGCTGTCTATGGACCTACGACAGGTCTACCAACTGCCTACGAATACACAGGTCACAGGTTCAATTCTCTGATCTACACAGATACTGTACATGGGTAGGGTGAGGTCTAGGGATCGAACCCTGGGTACTGCATCTGCTACTGCTAAAAGGTGAAAACCGTTTCACTCCCGCCGTCCTAAATTCGAGGTCCTCCGAGAAAATTTTAGTCCAAGGCAGGACCTTTACCTTTCTTGTCACACTCATAGGCSCTGACTATGTCGGGAGCGGTCTCTAGAMGTTCTGCTTTCGTGAACCAGCGGTCGTCTTCCGGTTCCTGATAAGCAAACCGGACCTTATACTGTTTCTGGGGACGACCTCTACCTCCTGTSCTAAACACATCCTCTTCTACAATGCCCTCTATGTCATAGCTTCCATCCATATCCGGTGGAATCATGGATCTCCTGGAAGGGAACTGTTGACTAGTGATACATGGCAGCAGCTTTGAAGCACGAAACACAGGGTATGTGTGGAGGTGTGCTGGAATCTCAATACTATAGGACGGTCCATACTCTCCGCCCTTGACTTCTAGAACCGGCCACGGTCCTCTATATGCAGGCAGTAACTTCTGCGAGATGTTTTCTTCCGGTGCAAACTCTTTTGCCTTGACCCAGACTAAGTCGCCTACTTGAAACTGTGATGGGCGACGGTGTTTGTTAGCCTGCTCTATCATTCTGTGCTGGGCCTTCCGTAGGTTCTCAACAACAGTGGCTAATTCCTTTTCGTGCTGTATCGCAAACTCCCTGGTACCGGGCGGTAATCTGTGAATCTGATCCCGGTTCAGTCCTTCGAACGGTCTGTGTGGTCTAAAGGACTTGTGCAGTTCATTGGGAGTGCGGCAGGTGGATAGGTGCACGCTGTTGTTGTATGCACTAGCGACCTTAGGCAACATCTCATCCCAGTTGATCTGATCTGGTCTAATGTACATGCGCAGAACTTGCTGTAGGATCTTGTTCATTTGTTTTGTCTCACCGTTAGTCTCTGGGTGACGGCCGAACGACATTAACAACTTAGATCCGTAGACTCTCATGAGTTCTTGCCAGTTCTGGCTAGTGAAACGACTATCTCTATCACTAACTATTGACAATGGGAT